CCAGCCCCGCAGGCCCTGCACGGCGCCCGCGGCCCCGCCATCCGCTGGGGGCCGTGGCCCGGCAGCCCCCAGATGGGAAGAGCAGGCCCCAAAGCATTTCTGCTTGGCTCTGGAAGGCCCTATGGAAGACTCCCCTGGGGCCTTCCTAATTTTGCCGCGTTTAGCTCAAGAGCACGTGCCCATGTGCGCAGTGGAGATGACGCCCCTCCCAGACACCAAAGACTCTCCCCCTAATGGCTCCACTGATGAACCACAAAACAGACAGGCCGCCCTCTGTTCATAATCAAAGTCCAATCCAAATAACCCCCCAGATTTCCTGACATGAGGGCCCAGGACAAAGGGAGAGTCTGGAAATGTGTTTGCCAGAGCCAGAGCCTGTGACTGCCTGTCAGTCAACTTACCCCCACGCCCTACTCCATCCCTCCGCGCTGCCCTGATGAGCAGCAGGGTGAAGTGATGGTCAAGTGCCCAGACCCTGAGGTTAGCCTACCCCTGGTCACGTCTCAGCCCTGCCACTTACCAGCGATAGGACTGGGCAAGTTAGTTAACTCTTCTGACCCTGTTACTCCCTCCGTAAAAGTAGTAAAGGATCTCTCCTATGTGGGTACTGAGAGCTCTAAATGAGTTAGTGTGTGCAAGGTGACCACAGCGATGCAGAGTAAGCACTAGGTAAGTGGTGTTATCGACCCTCCCCGCCCCCAGGCCAGGGACCAGGTCAGTGAGCTGCTCGTCTTGTCCGTTAGGGCACCCGGACATGGGGTTGGGTGGCCACCCTGGTTTCTATGTTTCTTTGTTCTGGAAGTGGGGTACCACGTGTGAGCCTCTTTATGCTTTCTCCCGGGTATGGAGGGCTCTGCAGGGAGCGTGCTCCACGAGCCTCCAACAGGCTGCTGCTTTGAGACCCAGGATTCCAGCTGACCCAGCTGCCCCTCCCTCCCCCGCCCACCAGTCCTCTGGGCTGCAGCTGGCATCCTGGGCCTGGCAGCACCCTGGCCCCGGTCCCAGGCCGCACCCTCCAGCTGACATGCTCTTCCCTTCCTGCGAGCTTGGACCTGTCCTTGGCCCCGGCCCAGGCCATCCCAACCTGCCTGACGGGGAGGGTGATGGGAAAGGGGCGGGGAGAGGAGGCAGGGGGCCTGTCAGACCCCAACGACAGCAGGAGGCAATGTGGATAAGGGTGACCCCTGGGCGCAAAGGGCCTCCTGGGAGGCTGGTGCTGCTGCCGGTCAGTGTCCCTATGGGACAGGGATGGTGTGGCCCGGCTTGCCGTCTGGATGCTGCCCGTCTTGTTCACCCATCTTTCCCTTCCTCTGGCCCTGGCAGGTGCCCGCAGTGCGTGTGCTCCGGAGATCACCTGAGGGGGCCCCTGTGCAAATTTTTATACCTGAGAACGGAGAGGTCGTCAGCCAGGTGTGATCCTGAGTTCCAGATGCCTGGCTGGCAGGCAGACGTCAGTTTCCCAGCGGGGCTGGGGCTGGGGCTGCAGCCGAGACCGCCCGCCCCGAAGCCCGAAGCCCTTCCCAGCTCCCTTTCCCGTCGCAGGTCGATGACCTGGAGCTGAGACTTTTTTTATACATCAGTTTTTGTTCAGAAGCCCTGGCCTGAGGGTTTATACTTGCGGTTTGTCCTCACCATCCCTGCAATATGACGATGCTCTGTTCCCCAGAGACTGGCCTCCTGGACTCAAGGCCTCACCTCTGACTGACGGCATCTGTCACCTTGTGCAGGACATGTGGCGGGGGACGCAGGCAGCAGAGAGGGCCGCGGCAGGTTCCTGGAAGCTCCACCCCCGCGTTCTGAGAACTTCCTTGCAGAACAGCCCCGGCCGTGCTGCCCTACTGCCACTGGAGGCTGCACCTCAGTCCCCCGTTTCTGGCTCTCGGGGCGCCGTCGGGGTGCCTGGGCTGGGGAGTGTGTCCTCCCCTCTCTAATGTGCTCTGTGATGCACGCACCAAGGGCTAGGTTAAGGGTCAGTGTGTTCCGGCGGAGTCTTGTCTGTTTTCCTGACCCCAGGACTCCCCCACAGGGCCCCCAGTTGCTAAGCGCTCCCTGTCCTGTGAGCTCCTGGCATCTCCACAGACCCATGAGCCTTGGTTGGAGGCCTCTCCAGATCAGGCGTCAGGTGGTCCAGGCTGGGGGCTGACCATTTTCTCTGGGCATCGTGAGGACTTGCAGGCCCCCCCTCCCGCTGACATCTTTTTGTCATAGTCCTGAAAAACGGTGCTTCACAGGTGCTTTTGGAAAGGCATCCTCTGTGGCAAGTTCTCAGGACGGGGGCAGTCCTTGCTCCTTCTTCCACCCAGCCGAACTTCTGCCCTGACAGTGGGTTTCCTTGAAGGAGGGCAAGCCCTTAATTTCACAGACGGGGATACCTGCCCTGCAGGGTGTAATGAATTGTCCCAGTGCTGGGCTGAGACCTGAGGCCTGAGGCCTGAGGCCTGGAAGCTGTCAGGGCTAAGACCATCGGTATCCAGGCTCCTGTCCTGGGGCCTTTGCTGAAGGTCTGATTCCCAAACAGGGATCCTGCTTCTGGGAGAGAGTGCCGAGCTGAGGCCAGGAGTAGGGGGCGCCCCAGCTCGGATCTAGCCTGTGCAGAGTCCTCTGTCTGCAGGACAGAGGCCGTGAACACAGCTTGAGGCCCCAAGGGCTTTGAGGCCAGACCTGGAGGAGACACAGCTCTCCGTGCTGCACAAGGCGGCCCGGCTGAGGGGTCGGGAGAGGGGAGCCTGCGTTTCTCGCTGCTCTTACCACGTCCTGCGGCTCCCCGGCTCTGCGCGTCTTCCTGCCCCATCGTGCTGGCTAGCTGTGACTTTGACGGCTGTTCTCCTGCAGTTCTGTGTCTGAGCCTGTTGCCGCTGCGCACAGCCATGCTCTCCCCTTCCGGGGTCCTCCCAGAGCACAGGGCTGAGCCAGGAGACGTCCGGGCACCCCCCACCCAAGCGTCCCTCACGTTAACTTATTGGTCCTGTACGATGCCTGATGCCCGTGCAAAGTGGCTGTGTACTCAGCCGTGGGGCTGTGGGGAGTTTGTGCCCAAAACTTCAATAAAGTCTGCTCTTGGAGAGGCTGAGCTGATGGAGAGTTTCTTTTGTGCCCAGTTTCCCGAGCAGAGGCTCTGCCCTGCCCCTCAGGGTGCAGGGCCACCTGGCCTCCTCAGCTGGTCTGGCCAGGTCCCTGGGGGGCAGGTGGGATGGTGGGGGTGGGGGAGCTCTCCTGGTCCTCTGCAGGATGGAAGCGGGAGTGAAAGCTCCCTGGTACCCCTAGGGCCTGAGGAGCTGGGTTCTGGGACTCATTCCCCAAGAAGGACCTGGGGCCATGGGAGCCTCTGGGGGAGGGGGTCCCGGTGTCCACTGGGTGGGGTGAGATGGCGGTCGGTGATGGGTGCAGCCGAGTCTCCTGGTCCTCGGAGCCATCCAGAGTGGAGGCTCTTGTGAGAAACAGCCCCTCTGCTCCAAGGCTGGACAAGGAGGCTCCTTGGGGAGAAGGGGGCCCTTGCGCATCTCTGGGCAGGACACAGGGCAGGCGTGGGGTGCTCCCACTAGGCCACCTCCTAGCCCGCCCTGCAGGGGCCGCTCTGGGACCCCGCACGGCGCCCCCTGGAGCCACGATGCTCAGGAGAGACGTGGGCCTGGTGTCTGAGGTGCCCAGCGTGTCAGGTAAAGCGGTCCCTCCTACTGGCCCTCAGGGCAATGGAGGGGCGGGTGGCAGCGGCTGGGGCGATCTTGGCCCTGCCCACTGCCTGGCAGTGGGTTCTGTGGGGCCTGGGTGCCCCATTCTGGGGGGTGGGCCACGAGGGGACACAACCCCAGAGGTCTCTGGAGAAGTGTGGGCCTCGCAACCTCAGACCTGAATCTTTTCCACCAAAATGAGTTGTGGATAAGGGGACCCGATTCTGTACTTCAGACGACTGTGAGGAGTCAGGCCCAGCAGAACCGTGACTGGTGTCAGGGCGTCCCCAGGGCACAGGGTGGGGGACCCTCCCTGCAATGGACGAGACCAAGTCAGCCAACAGGAAGGGCCGGCGAGGGGGCGGGCAGGCCCCTCAAGGCCCCCCAGGAGCAGAGAGCAGGGGGTGCCCCCGTGTGCAGGGCCGGGCAGTGCTCTCCTCCTGGTCCACAGGCAGGTCTCCTGGCCTGGTCTGGGCGGGCAGACATCGCAGGGCTCGGCCCCCCAGCCACAGGGTGGAACGGGATTACGATTCAGTCAAAGGGGACGGGGGCTTCAGGACTTCAGCAGCGAGGCTCCCAGAGGCGGAGGGTTCGACACCCAGCCTCTTGAGTCTGAAATGTCCCCAGGCAGGGAGAGCCCCGGATGTGAGTCAGGAGGGATCAGGGCTTCAGAGGGTCCCCATTCTCTCCTGGGGAGGTGGGGGGAGCCGGTGGTGGGACTGCTCAGCCAGATCCCTTTCCTTTTCAGCAGCCTAACCTGGCTCCCGCCCCAGAGTGCAGATGGATCCACCTCCCAACGAGCAAAAATTAAACCAAGTAACCTTTTCGCCATCGGCTGACCGCATCTGTTGGAGTCCTGCCTTGACAGGTGAGTGGCTGG